CCTGCTATTCCCTTAGTGGTTACTGTTCCTACACCCCTCCTCCTGAGTTCTGTATAAAACCTCTGCTCCCACCCCCGAGGGGGTCTTGGGGCTCATTGAATAAAACCATCCCGTTCACCCCCCAAGTCCCGTGTCGCCTTCGTCTGTCCCCGCGCGCCACGAACTGAACTGCAGAGCTTGCAGGGGGAAGCGGCCGCCCGTTCTCTTCCCTCACCGCCCAGCCCGGCACGGCTCGGAGTGCCGCGGCGAGAGGAGCGCATGCCGCGCTACAACAGTTTACATTCATGTCAGTGAAGACACAAGGGAAAGCAGATGAGTGGATTAATTTGTCTGGTTTTACTGATGATAATTTCTTCAGGTCTGAGACAACTGATGCCCCAGTACTGATAACTATTTTATTTTCCTGATGGCTATGTAGCATAATGAAGCAGGAAGCTTTTCTAATAAGCCTTTCAAGGCATCACTCATGAGGGGGAACTGGCTCTAGAAATACCCTTGTGTAGTCCTCAAAGATGAGTTGACACCTTTTTGCAGTCCCAAACACACTTGTTCATCTTTGCTGTGCATCTGCCTTCCAAATATTTTGGTTTGTGAAATTCAAACAAACTGTAGATGCTAGTGAGAAATCTGTGGAAAGCAAATGCTTCCTGCATTGCCACTGGGATGTGGCAATGTCTGACAGGGATGCTGGAGCATGTCCTCAGCTCTCTCAGTGTTGGGAATAACAGCCTGTGTCCCTTTCAGATCCCGATCAGGAAAGCCATTGCAGGCATCTGTGGGATATTAACTGCCTGTGCATATTGTACTGATTGTGTTTGATGGGTTACTCATGGAACTATCCCAAGGACAGCCAAGGAGCCCTGAGCTTTCTGCAGCCCAGGTGGGTCTTCCCTGCCTGCTGCCGCTTGTGAAGGCAGTTGTTGCAATCCCAGTCCTTAATGGGCCCAGGAAAACTGGAGGGGCTTAAACTGACTGCAGAAAAACTGGAAGAAGTCTAAACTGACTCTGAAGCAAGGTGTTTCTGATAACAGGACAAGGGAGAAAAGAGAGGCAGTGGAAACTGCCATGAATAAAGATAACATGTTGTTCTGTGGGCTTGCTTGGCTTTTTTCTTTTGTGAGGACTCCAGAAATCTGTCAGCAGAACACACACACTGAAAGGCAGCACCTCACACACATGTGCAAACACCTGCATCCAGCCCCTGTGCCCACCTTGCTCTCACCAGATCTTCCCTGTTCCCAAATATTCAGTCTATTGAGATCATCTAAATGCTGAACAGGAGCTACCTGAGATATTAATTTCAGCAGCTGATATGCCTTATCTGTTGAAAAGCTCAGGTGCAGAGGCCTTGAGAGAAACTTTTGCTATAAAGAGGCATGACCACAGCTACTGCAAAGGAGAGATGATTCAGAGGAGAAATGAGGGTCATTTCAGTAAATGTGACAAGGGAATTTCTCTAGAATTGGACACTGGCATCAGAATTCAATGAAGCACACCTGGTGTTTCTCAACACCATGTAGTCAGGTGATGAAATTGCTGACTGATTTTTTAGGAATCATTCCCTATGATGATGATAGAAAATAAAAACTTAAAAAGCATCACTGGATGAGATACTCTTTTCCAAGCCCATTCTGGGCTTTTTTTTTTTTTTTTGCTTAAAGAACTAACTAAGGCAAACACAGGGGTTTAGTCTAGTTTTGTTTTTATTGAAACAACCCTGAAAATGTATTTTCTTGAAGGAGCATTTATTCAAAGTGGGAATTTCTAATGAACAATGGAAGCTCAGAGAGAAAACCAAGTTTGTGTCAATCAGCTATGTAAAGAGCTATACTAATCCAATCAGAAACAAAAACAACACAGCAAATGTTGGATGCACATTACACATCCAACTGCAAAATTATTCAATCACTATCAGCTGCTTCCACTGCTAAATGGGCAACAGCCCAGTGTAATTTGGGGAGCAACCTAAGGAGGAAAGAACTAGGGGGAAAAAAAATCAATGCATGGACTGAAGCAGAAATGAAGTTTCAT